ATAAGTCACATGGTATCACTGAGAAGGTGTGACTTACCTGCCTCACCCATAGGATGAAGACTCAGATAGTGAGGATGATAAAGATAATAAAAACTCAGATAGTGACGACAGCGATGGTGGAGCAGAGAGTGAAGAGGAAGACCGTGATAAGGATGTGCAGCCAGGCTTTCGCCAGCGGCTAATGGAAGTGTTGCAAGCTGGGAATGCATTGGTGAGCAGAAGCCAGGGGAGAAGGGGTTTGTCTATCTACCTAAGGCCAGGTACCTGTGCTTAGGCTGTGCTTCTGTACCTCAGGGTGGAGTAGACAGTGAGGATGAAGAGGAGGAGCTTGGGGATGAGGCTATGATGGCCCTGGACCAGAACCTGTCCAGCCTATTTGCAGAGCAGAAGTTGCATATTGAGGCCAGGCGAGAGGAAAAGAACAAGCTGCAGAAGGAGAAGACGCTCCGACGGGACTTCCAAATCCGGGTGAGTGTGTGCAAGTGACTGCCAGATACCCTGAGCTGCTCCTGCCTCCCCTGTGCTCCTGCATGGGCTCATTCCCAGTCCTCTGGCCACAGGTACTAGACCTGATCGAAGTGCTGGTGACCAAGCAGCCTGAGCACCCCCTGGTCCTGGAACTACTTGAGCCACTGCTGAGCATAATCCAGCACAACATGCGCAGCAAAGGCTCCAGCAAGCAGGAGCAGGACCTCCTGCACAAGACCGCCCGCATCTTCATGTAAGTGCACATGCCCTGGGTAACACATCACCCTAATTGACTTTTCTTCCATTTCCTTCATGCTCCCTATGCCTAGAGCAGGGGTCCTGAAGCTCTGGTCCTATCCCAGCCGTCACTGTTAAAATACTCTGGAATTCTGACAGGAGGGTTAGGACTGTCTCACACAGCACTATGCTAGTCCAGATCATGCTATGTCTTCAGGCACTGTTTTGTCCTTGTGCCGCCGCCGCCCCCCCGCCCCCCCCCCGCTCTGTCTCTATCCCTAAGCACATACTGGTTTTGGGCTTGATTTACAGAGTCTGAGGCCACTGTCCTACAAAACAGGTACAGACAAGAGGTGTTCGGCCCCTGGGTCAAGTCCCTATCCGTCTCTAAAAGTCAGTATTCTAACCTATGCAGTGGTACTTAGGGCTCTTCTTGCTGTGCATGGCAGAGCAAGGTCAAGGGCATCTTTTGACCACTTTGCCCCACCCACAGGCACCATCTATGCCGTGCCCGCCACTACTGCCGCGATGTGGGGCCCTGTGCAGAGGCTCTGCATGCCCAGGTGGAGCGCCTTGTGCAGCGTGCTGGCAGTCAGACTGACACCTCTGTCGCCCTTTACTGCTTTAATGCCTCTCTGTATCTACTGCGAGTCCTCAGGGGCAACACTGCTAAGAAGCACCAGGATGGACAGACGCTACAGGGAGCCGACACCAAGTCTGAACCCAAGGACCCAGAGGTGAGCCAGGAGCCAGTCGGGGCAGTTTCCAGAAAACTTAAATCAACTCTTAGCCAGGACTTGTCCTCAGCCTTCTATGCCTTGCTCTGTGACATGAGGGGGCCTGCTTGTTGGGGTATCTGTCCCGTCTGGTACCCCACAGCCGGCAACCCCCAAAGGAATCACACAGGACTCCATAAGATTATAAACTGATTGGCACATTAGGTCAGGCTACTTATGAGTTCTTACTTATCTTAACCCATTATTCTGAGCTATGTTAGCCATATGGCTTGGTACCTTTTTCAGCTGTCAGCTCACATGTTGCTTGGGCGCCACTCTGTAGTGGTGAGGAGCAGCAGAAAGGCGGGCCGCGTTCCCATCCGGATCCCAGCTAGCTTATGCGCCACTCTGTAGCAAAAGGAGCGGCGGGCTGCTTCCCACCACTCGCCTGGCTAGCTTTACCCGAAATAATTACATGGAAACTGTATTCTTTTAAACACTGCCTGGCCCATTATCTGTAGCCTCTTATTGGCTAACTCTTACATATTGATCTAACCTATTTCTAATAATCTGTGTAGCACCACGAGGTGGTGGCTTACCAGGAGGATTCTAACCTGCGGCTGTCTCGGAGAGGAGAGTCATGGCGACTGCCTCACTTCCCTTCTTCCCAGCATTCTGTTCTGTCTATTCCATCCACCTATGTTCTGACCTATCAGGCCAAGCAGTTAGCCAATGAAAGCAACAGAAATACATAAGACTCTCCTACATCATTGCTCCCTGTCTCACCCCAGCTCTCTCACCAGGCTCAGGCTACCAATTGCTTGGACTTGAACTTTGTGACCCGGGTATACTCGGCAGCACTGGAATCTCTTCTGACCAAGCGTAACAGCCCCCTCACTGTCCCGATGTTCCTCAGCCTTTTCTCTCGATATCCGGTGAGTGCAGGAACCAGCCCTCCTCTTTGGAACCCTGCCTGTCCCAGAACACAGCTAATGGTCCCTGTCCTTCCCCAATCCCTAGGTGATCTGTAAGAACCTGCTCCCCATCCTGCTCCAGCATGTGGCTGACCCCTTGCGACCCCGCCATCAGGTAAGGATCTGTCTGAATCACCTGTGCAACCTTTTCACTGAGGCTTCACTGACCTTGGCTATTTTTATGCTGCAACATATGGTGGGCACAGAGGAACTTCGGGAGCCTTGCTGTCTGGCCCGAGGCCTCCAGCACTGCTGAGGCCTCATCTTTGGCCTGACCTGTATGAGAAGGCACCCTGTCTGCTTAGATGCCAGGGTTGTCAGGCAGGCTTGAGGGAGACAGCATTAAGTCAGTAAAGGCAAGAGACAGTCCAGCATGAGGTTGGAGTCATTGCCTCTTCAGATCTCAGCAGCCTTTTACCCATATAAGAAGAGAGGAGCTGATAACTGTACGGCCCAGTACAGGCAGCCTCTGAGCCTTTACCTGGCATGCTGGGGCTCCTGCTGGCTACATTCTCCTTGATGCAGGCCCAGGCGTGCACGCTGCTCCAGAAGACCCTATCTGCCCGGGAGCTAAGAGTATGTTTTGAGGATGCTGAGTGGGAGCAGCTGATTGGCCAGGTCTTGGAAAAGGTCGCCCAGGTAACACAGCTGTGAAGCTCCCACCCATGAATTCACCCCCAGGTTTCTGGAAACCAGATTGCTTGGAACTTGAGGTTCCAGAGTGGGTTATACAAGCTAACTAGTCCCCAGAGACATTTCCTCCCTCTGGGCCACTGCTGTGAGAGGCATGCAGAAAGGCCTTGGGCAGTTCTTAGGAGTGCCTCAGTGTTGACCTTCCTCCTTAGACCCTGCACACACTCGGGGAGGCACAGAGCAAGGGGGAGCACCAGAGGGAGCTGTCCACCTTGGAGCTGCTGAACAGTCTCTTCAGGACAGTCAATCATGAGGTAAGGCAGCTGCCCAAGAGTCAGTGCCCCAGATGGAATGGACATCACACCAAGGCTCTGGCAGTAGTCCTTCCTGGGGGAGAACCTGGCCTTTTCAAAGACTACAGTGCGACTGGTAGAAGTGATTGACTTCAAGAGGTAGAAGGCCACTTCTAGAGCTGGCAGATGGGGGTGAGGCGGTGTCGCCTTGCATCAGAAAACTGAAAAGTAAGACATAGTGATAGTGAGAAGAGCTAGAGTTGATCCCCCAGGTGGGCAGCAGTTTGGAAGGAGGCCAGGTTTCCAGGCAGGGAGGGGTAAGAGTTACTCATGGGCTTATTAGGGGAGAGGCCAGGAGGCCACTGGAAATGGACATCTGGGTTCCCTAGTCTGGAACCATCCTTACAGGGGACTGAGGCTGAAAAAGCAGAGACCTGAGCCCCTGGTTTGGGAAAGGGAAACAATGCTAGGGGCCTTAGTTTTTACACGATAGAGACTAGTAATTTAGAGACAGGAGTGGCTAAGGTTCCAGGAGCAGGTGGAAGACCCAAAAGCTGACAAAAAGCCATGTCACCACTACTACTCCAGCCTGCTTTTCCTCTGCAGAAGCTGTCTGTGGACCTCACCTCTCTCTTGGGTATGCTGCAGAGCAAGCAGCAGAAGCTGCAGGAAAACCTAAAGCAGGGGAACCACTCCTCTGGTTCCAACCGCCTCTACGACCTCTACTGGCAGGCCATGAGGATGCTAGGAGTCCAGTATGTTCTGGGAGAGGGACCCACACCCTGGAAATGGGACTGAAGATTCCCTCGGTGCCATCAGTACTGTACTCTCTCACTTTGTGTTTTACTACTTCCTTCCAGGTGTCCCAAGTCAGAAAAGAAGAATGCCAAGGATATTCCTAGCGACTCTCAGAGCCCTATTAGCATGAAGCGGAAGAAAAAGGGATTCTTGCCTGAGACCAAGAAACGAAAGAAACTTAAATCTAAGGACACCACACCAGAAAAGGATGCTGCATCAGGGCAGGATGTAGTGATGGCAGATGCCACACCTGCTGCTGCTGGTAAAGACCAGCCCCCCAGCACAGGCAAGAAGAAAAGGAAGAGAGGGAAGGCCAACACCCCATCCCAGGTGAATGGGACACCTGTCACCAAGAGTCTAGCTCCCAACAACCCCACCCTAAGCCCCAGTACCCCTGCTAAGACCCCAAAACTACAAAAGAAAAAAGAGAAGCTGTCACAGGTGAATGGAGCCACTCCTGTGTCCCCCATAGAGCCTGAAGGCAAAAAACATTACCAGAAGGCTCTTCCCACAAAGGAGGTCTTGAGAAAGACCCCCCAGTCTGCTCTGCCACGAAAAAGGGCAAGGCTGTCTCTGATTAGCAGGAGCCCCAGCCTGTTCCAGAGTGGGGTCAAGAAAAGGAAAGTGGCCCGGAGGAAGGTGCAGACACCTTGAGTCCATGGTGTTGTCTGTTTTCCCCTGTCTTGAGCATCCCAAGAGACTTCTATTTTTCACCAGTATTTTAATAAATATTGCCATGGTATATGACACCAATCTCTGGCTTTGGGCAGTGGGTAGATTACCAACCTTCCAGGGGCAAGGTCCATATACTGTAGGACTAGTTTCAGGCTTAGATACTCAGTTCTGTCCCTCCCCAGGCTGTTCCAATGGAGAGCCACGAAAACATTTAAATAGGTTTATTTCTTCATTTACAAGAGGAATATATATTTGGCTTCTCTCTTAAGACTCTGAGATTCACAATCAGCAGCTCTAAAAAATAAAGGAGCGGTTCAGCTTCCGGAAGGAAGAGGAGGCAACACTTGGACCTGGTTCTTGTACAACAAGAAAACATTGCTGGGGCCCCTGCTGGGGTTAGGGTGGGAGCCAGCCTGGTCATAAGGGATAGCACCCCCTGCCCACCCACATCCAAACCCCCAGGGTGCCCCAGAGCTTGGGTGGCGTGGGTACCACTAACACCACTGAAGCCACAGCCAGCAAGTGGGGGATGGCCACAGGAACTGTTGTCCAAGCTGGTTCTGGACGTTTCCTGTAGGTTACAATGGTACCCCAGGACCAGAACCACCTTGACGTGCAAGGAGTGAAGCTGGGGATAAGTGTCCAGAGGTGACTAAGGTAGCTGCAGGGGAGTGAAGGGCTGTATGTGTGTAGGTGTAGGGTGATCAAAGGCTGAGGTGAAGGCCTGCCCCCCCTCCCCAGGCAGTTGGGGTATGATACCTACAGGCACTGGTGGGCAATCTCCAGCAGTTTCATACCCAAGCCAAGAAGCAATGTGAACAGCTGCTTAGGTACAGCTTTCAGCAGCCAAATCTGAATCTGACTCATTGAAAAGGTCATCCTGTAAGGGGGTGGCTTCTGGGCAACAGCAGGAGTTGGTGGGGGAGGGTGAGGAAGTAGGTTCCTAAGGTTGCAGGGCCTTCACCCCTAGTGCTGCAGCTTCCTTTAATAAGGGGTGGTCCCACCTTGGAAAAATTGGGCAAAGAACCAGCTGAAGACAGCAGAGGCAGTATCTATTCTCCTGGGTGACTGTCCCAGCCAGGGAGCATCCAGCAGTAGGTACCCAGCTCCATGTGTCAGGCTGAATTTGATGGCCCCCAGGTCAGAGCCTAAGGATGGGGAAATGGTCCTCCAGAGGCTTTGTGGGGGACCTCAGAACCAGAACTGAGGGCCTGAGACTTGGGCCATGTCTTCTGTGTACAGTCTAGGACTTGTTTCTTCAAAGCCATGGAGGGTGCCTTGCAAGGCACACAATGAAGGAAGCTCCAGCTCCTTGGCCCCACTGTCTAGGGAGGATAGGGGCTCTCTCAAGATATTATGAGCTAAGGGCGCACCAGGCTTTCCCCAAATACCCAGTGCAGGCTGGTTTCTCTCTTGGACTTTCAGCCCCCAACCAGGTCTTGAATTGTGTTCAACTGAGTGGCTCCAGCACACACAGCCCTCCATGTTAACTGAGGATGCAGCTTCTTCGAGATAGGGCCGCTCAGTCCTGGGCCAACAAGGGTGAGTACCCAGCTGTGAGTCACATGGGTAGCTTTGGGACAGTCCTGCAGGTCCAGGATGCTGGAAGACCTCTCCCAATCTAAACTGCAGATCATTGCTGTCCCAGCTGCACCTGTGGGAAGGGGTCGGGTCAGGTGGAGCTTTGGAAATTGTTCCAAAGCTGGCTTCCTTAGCTACCACTGTTGTGGTACTGGAGGCTATGACCCGTGTTTTACATTGACAGGAAGCTTTAGTTTCCAAGGGCTAGGCCACTGGGAAGGTCAGGGTGGGAGCTGTATACTGACACATCTAGGAGGATTTAGGAGGACAGCAGGAGTTTCTGGCAAGTTCCAGGCCTGACCTATGCTCTCAGCCCTCCTAGGGAAGGGAGGGCACTGATTTACTGGAAGAAGCCAGCTCCCACAGCTCTACAGATTCCATGTCAACATCTCAGAAGGAAGAGGGCAGACCCGAGGCAGTGGGGAATCTGCTCAGGAAGGAGAGGGTTCAGAAGGTGTTTTGTTCCCTGTTTCTTTGTGGCCAGTCCTCCCACAGGGCCTTCTGGCCTGCACTCACCACCTCAGACTTTCACGGATGCAGGCGGCATCACCAGCTGGTTCACCCTGAGGGAGAGACGGGCGGGGGTCAGGGTGGCACATCAGCGGGGACTGGGCCCAGGCACGGCTCTGGCACATCGCATCACTGGGGCCGGCAGACCGGAGGCGCTGGGCAGGGACCTCGTCAGCCCCAGGGGGAGGTGGGAAAGCCCAGGGGTAGGGAGAGGAGAAAGAAAGGAATAGAGAAAAGAGGAGAAAGAAGTCAGAAAATAAGAGGAGAAAGAAATGAGGCTCCCAGCTCTAAAACCCTATTTACTCCAGAGGGGAAAAAAATCATTCCTAGAACTACCGAAGAAAGGCCTGGCATCTGCCAGCCTGGCTACAGTGGGTAGGGCTCACAAAATGCTGCTGGGGGCATGAGAAGACTCAGCCAAATATAGAGCTGGTCCTGGCCTCCAGCAGGTCACCCAGCCATAAAGGTACAAAGTAGCCCACTGTCTCCTCCACCCTTGTCTCAGAGAGCTGTCACAGTCCCTGCTTCCCAGCACGCCCACCCTCACCCTACTCACTGCTGTTCAGCCTTGGCACGGTCACTGAGGAAGAAGAGAGCAGTGGCAAGGAAGAACATGCCACCTAGGACCACAACAAAAGGGCACAGCATGAGGGCATAGCCCAGGCTCAGAAACTCCCAGAGTGGGGAGTCCTTGGTGCTCTGGCGGATAAGGTCCGAGATCTGTGGGGATTGGGGTACAGGTATCAGGACATGACTATCTTCTGTGCCCCACCCAAGGCAGACCCCACCCTCAGCTACTCACAAAGCCAATGAGGTAGGGGCTTCCAGCATCCCCCAGCAGATGGGAGGTGAAGCTCTGCAAGGCCACAGCAGTGGCTCGTCGGGTAGGGATGACCACGTACTGCAGGAGAAAGGACAGGTCAGTGCCAGAAGGATATGATATTTCTGAAAACCCCACAGCCTCAGTTTTCTGTCCTGGTAGATCCTCCCACCCAGCCCTGTACTTCCCTACCCACCATGTAGGCATGGCCTCTTCTGCATCTGCCCCTCCTGTCTGGAGCCTTGAAGCTCCCACACACAGCTTCAGGCTCCATCACCCCAATGGCTCTGACAGGCCCCAGACCTCAGCCTTGGTGATGGGAATCTGTACCTCCGTCCCCACTACATTCAGTCATGGAACACAACTTCAGTATCAGTTGGCACAGGTCTTCCAAGGCCAGAGTTCTTGGAGCATGGAGGACCTGAGCTAACAGACCCAGAGGCACTTCTCTTTCTTTTTTAAAGATACGGCCTTACTGTTTGACCCAGGCTGACCTCAACTTGCTATGCTCCTGGAGAGAACCCTCATTTCTGAGGGATCACATGTGGAGTTGGGCAACTCTAGACATAGGAGTCTGGACTCTAGGCTTCCTGCCCTCCCCTTTCATAAGCTAAACACCTGGCTGGATTCCCCTCCATGAAGATTTAGAAAGGCTGAGGCTGGCTGAAGTGGTGAGGATATGAACTAGAGTCCTACCCCAAAGAGCCTCTACTTGAACTCAAGCACCCTGACACCAGAGTCTAAGAGCCGCTGGGTCCCAGTCACCCTGAACCAGACAGACCAGGCTCTGACCTCACTTGAAGACAGGTGGGCAAGACTAGGACAGCCAGAACCAGGTGGCCCTTCCCTGAGCTCCAGCTACCCACACTGTCCACGACTCCTGTCATTCTGGACAGCAGGAGCAGCCAGCATCCTCACTGGTGGTGAGGAGACGGAGGGATCTGGATCCAAGGATATTGCATGGCCCCATTTCCAACACTAATTAGTCGCTTAGTTGGGGCACTTAATAAAACTGGGACATGATTTCCCTGGGACCCAGACAGCTCTCAGGGGCTGCTGGGGGTGGGGGTTGCCAGGGGAGGGCATGCTGCCCAGCACCGAAGACTCTTGATTCAGTCTTGCCACCGTTATGTAGTGACCGACTCCTGCCCCTGTTCTTGCCCGGTCCCTTGTTGAGGCACTTAGTGGAGGCCTCCCCCCACTTCTGCATAATGCATGAATGGGCAGAGAACAGACGCACTGCTGGGGGACACAGGTATTTGAGAAAACATAAGGGTGGAGCAAGGCAGGCTTCCTGAATGGGAGGGACTACAGAGGGCCCCAGACTCTGGCCTGTGGTCTAAGCACCAGTCCCTAAGCTAATAAATACCCAGGGTATTTATTCCCCTGCCTATACCTCCTATCCCTCCATCTCCAGTCCTCTGCAGTCTTCTGAGTCTGATCAGGAGGTCCCCTGAGGACCAAGGGCAGGATTCATAGTCCTGCCATCTCCACCCCCACTTCACTCAGAGCTATAAGTCACTAGGCCCACAGCCCCTCCCCTGTTCTCCTGTCCCCACCCAGGAACACAAGCCCAAGCAGACTACTCAGACAGCCCTTTGTCCCTGGCCTGCTTGCTGGTCTGGAGGCCATTGTTGGTCCCGTAAAGACAGCCTCTGTTTGTCCAGTCAGCCGCAGGCACTCGGCCGGCACGCCTGGGATCCAGCCTAGGACCCAGCCTGAGCTGGCAAAGCAGAATGCGAGGACACTCAACTCCAGAGGGAGGAGTGCTGGCAGGCAGCACCACCTCAGTGCCAGCCTGGCACTACCAGCCTCCTAGCCACAAACCTGAAACTGGAGACAACCCTGCCCCTGCACCCCAACATCTAACTGCCTGCTCTCCTAGCCACAAACTGGCAATTGGAGACAATCCTGCCCCTGTACCATCTACCTGCTCAACCCTGTTTGCAGGCTCTTCCCAGATCTGACCCCCATGTATCTCTGAGCCACTCCCTGCCACTGGGTTCACCTCTCCCACTAACAAGTGATGTTAACACTTCACTTACCCACCCAAACTACCCCAATGAAATTTAGAAGCATGGGTCAGTCAGCAGAAGGTGACTGTGGACTTCCTGGCTTACCATGAGGATGTCTGCAGTGATGGCCCAGTTAGAAAACAGCAGTGTCTCCCCAACAAAGATGCAGATCTATTCATAGAGAGGAAAACAACCATGAGGGGGCACAAAGGCAGAGACACAGGACCCTCCCTATGGGGACAGAGGGTCCTGGAAGTCAGACTGCAACTCTAGCCCATCTCCCCCATCCTTATAAGAACTCACATAAGCGCCCACAATGCTGGTCTTGGCAGCCACAAAGATGAGGCAGATGAAGATGGCAGATCCCAGCATGCCCACAGCACACACCAGTGGGTCAGCACGCTGAGTCCGCAGGCGGCACCAGCGAGTGGCTCCCGCACCTGTGACCACGCCCAGAAAGCCAGTAAAGCAGGTAATGGCCCCAAAGATGAGGCTGTGGGGACAAAGGACAGTAGAGTGTGATTTGATTTGAACAAGACCGTGGTCAGGGCAGAGGCACCCAGTCCCTTGCTTCCAGGCTTCACCTGTCTTTGGCGCCGCAAGGTGGGCTGTTGCACGTCTCTGCCGTCTTTTGTACAACTTGAGCACGGTGCAGATAGAGAGGAATCCACATGCCTAGGGCTCCTGTGGCGAAGGACACGGCTGAGGTGGCCAGGGAGGAAAAGACGTAACTGCGGCTGGGAAGAATCCAGGGAGGGACACTGAGTTGGCACAGCAGGCAGCCTTCACAAAGAGGCCGGGGAGTCAGCATATTCCCCCACAGTCTCCCCCAGATAGAGACTCCTCACAGGCCCAGGTGAGGAGTAGGGATGCAGGAATGATAAACTCTCAGACCAAAATGTCATTCAGCACTACAGGCAGTGGAGATGGCAGCTGAGTGTGGGGACTGCTTGCTTGGGGCTCTCACCCAGGCCCCCTCCTACCACGTTCCACACAATAGCACTCACTTTCGGATCAGAGCCTTCATGTCTCGGAGCCATGAGGTCCGTGCTTTGAGCTGCCCCCCAAGTTGATCAGCATGGCCTCTCTTAGTGGCTGGGACCAGGATGAGGATGAGTGTTCCTGTGATCATGCCCAGGACAGGGGATACCTGGTAGGACAGGAAATGTGGAGCTTGAGTGTCCAATAGACTCTGTGCTGACCAGGAGGGCCTGGGCAACTGTTCTTATCTGGGTTCCAAGTCCTTTTCCTAGGCTAATATTTGCCCAACTGAATAAAAGAAAGGCTGAGCAAAGTCGCTGAGGATGAGGCCAGGGAAGGGGTTAGGGGGCTCAAAGTGGACAAACCAGACCAAAGGCAGGGCAGGAAAACAGGTTCAAGGAAAACCAACAGACTTCAGGGAAGGGGGGAAGGGGGGAAGTGAGAGGGGCTCAAAAGATGAAGAATAGATGGGAAAACAAGCAGATAGATGCACATATGCTTGGGTGGATGGACAAGTAGGTGAATGAGTGGGTGGGTGGCTGAATGGGTAGATGGGTAAGGAAAGAAAGACAGGTAGATGAAAAGCATAGGGAACAATGTCTTTGAGTAGAAAAATTTATTTGTAGGGGTAGAGAGCCATATACCAAATTGCCTAACCCTTGGGGCTAGGAATATTCCAAGGTGTGTCCCTCAAACACAGGCATTAGGTGGGGACTGGCCAGACAGGTGGCCTGTTCTTTACAGGCCTCTGTATGGGTTTTGGGTCTTCCTTGTGTCCAGCCTCATGTTAAGAACAGAATACACAAGGCTCCAGGCCTCTCCCTACACAGAACCAAACACCAGCTAGGAGAAAAGAGAAGCTGGCTTCCCTCAGGCCTGGGAGCTCTTCTCCATGCAAGCCCTCTACCCTATGGCTCACCACCCCCATCATGAAATTCCACGGTGGCTGCTTCCTTCCTGCTTTTGAGGAAAAAACACTTTGTCTTGAGCTTCCGTTCCTCTGAGAAACGGGGAATCTCTGTTTCCTCTGATTGCACTGTCCTAGGGCCTTGGTGAATTGCCCCAACCCTGCAACAGAACAGGAAGTGGCTCCAGACCCTAAAGGCCCCCACACAGAGGTCCCGTCCCAACCTCGCCCTAGAACAGAGCCAGGGCTGGAAGCAGGAAGCTCTGCTGTGGACCTGGAATTTCCTGATGTGGTGAGAGAATCCTCATCCTTTCCATTCCCTGGGCCTGGGCGTAGGGTTTCAACCCTGGACTGGGGCCCTGTGGGTGACAGGACTGTCTAGCTCCCCTGATACCTCAGCCTGAAATGATCTAGAGGGACAAGACCTCAGAGTCCAGGCTAGTGAGGGAGTGGGCATGGAGATTAAAGCCTGGCCTCTGGACTGAGCCGCTCTCTGGGAACAGAGGCTGGAGTGGGGAGCCTAAAGAGGAGGGGACCTAGGCCTTACCCTCAAGGCCCAATGCCAGTCTCCAGCTGCCTGCTTCACGCTGGAACCTGTGATGTAGCCCAGGCCACTGCAGAGAAGACAGACACACGTCAGAGTGAACAGCTAGGCTGAGAGGAACGTTCGTGTTGGCCTCCCACCCAGCCAGCCTGTGGAAGAGCAGGTCTAGGAGTTCTCTACAGCTGCCTGCCTCCATGTTTGCTTAATGCAGGGTTGGTGAGTTCAAGGGGACCGTGGTGCTCTTCCCACAAATCATGGCGCCCCACACTTACCTGCCCAGTGGGATGGCAAAATAGAAGACTGAGAGCATAAGCGTGCGGGTGTTCTTGGTAAATAAGTCGCCGATGATGGTGGGTGCTATGGTGGAGTAGCTGGCTTCACCGATACCTACTAACCCTCGGGACAGGACCAGCAGCCAGAAGTGCTGTGGAGGAGGACAGAGAATGCTGGAGGACCAGCCATTCCCAGGCTTGCATATCCCTATCCCATTCATTACACACTAGCCCTGGCTGGGTTCAGGAGCCCGGGGAGAGGATGGAGCCCAGGACTAGCCTCAGCAGTGACCACAACCACAGGTCACACAGGGCCCTGGGATACTCCTCAAAATGATGGATCTGACTGGGACAAATCATTCCCAGGTTGGGAGAAGACAGGGCTGTGTCTGCACAAGCACTGGGGACTATGTGCTCGGGGCACCTTGGCATCTCTGGTTCACTTTAGGATCCAGAAGTTACCTTTGCTCTGTGCCCTCCCCCAGGCAGGGAGGCTAGACCAAACCTGGTCACACTGAAGACCCAGTGTGTGAGGGGAATGGGCACAGTTGCCTAGTGGGCTCTGAGCCCCTCTCTGCTGCACACATCAAAGGCCACAGTGGGGGGAAGGGTGTGGCCATGCCAGCTGCCAGTGGTCCAAACCCCTTTGATGTGAACCTTCCACTGACCCCCAGATGCCCAGGGCCAGAGAAGCTGGCATGGTCATGGTTTCCCTGTCCCACTCACACCACCTGTCGGGCCAGCACTGCCCATATCCAGCTCTCCCCTGCTGTCTCTGTAGTCCCTTTCCATCCATCTCCTGCCACTTCTCTGGCCCTGGATGCTGATCCTCTGCCTTGACCTTGTCTCACTCTCCCTGGTTCCTGGCATTTCTTTCCCTGTGGGTCAACTGTCTACAACCTTTCCCTATTTTTCTATTGGGTTGTCGTGTCTTTTTTGTATAGATTTATATTAGCATTTTCTACACCACAGGGCTAGATCCCTTGTTATCTGTGTCACCAGTGTTCTCAGCCGCCTTTCTCTCCTCTTTGTTTACCCAGTTTCACCATTCACAGACTTCCTGATGTCTAATTTGATGCTGTCACATCTTGGTTTTTTCCCCTCAATGTCTTGTTCAAGAAATCCTACTCCAGACTCAAAGTATAAAAACACCCTCTTCTATTTCATGTTGAAATGATTTGGGGAGAGACATCAATCCTCTTCAGCACTCTAGTATGCTAAGGTGACCCTGCTCCCTTCCCCACCTCCCACTGGCCGCCAGGTTGATGCCGTCTCTCTCCTATGCTGCACATGTAAGTACCAAGAAATAGCACTTAGTGTTCTCTCTGCCTACAACAAATAGACAGAAAGGGGGCTGCTCCACTTATTTTATTTTACCACGTGCTTCATTATTTTTTGACATATATGTGTGATGATTGACACTGACCAAGTTTATTCTTCCACTGGCTACTCAATATGAATACACCCTTGAGTAACTGTGCAGGCCCAGTGGTGGCCATTTGAGTAGTTTCCTACCTTCCTGCCTGACTTCCTGCCTGCCTTCTTCTTTGTGTTTGCACACAAGAAGTACATGTATGAGTGTGTGAAGGTACATAGAGAAGCCAGGAGTTAAATTGCTCTCCATCTTATTCTTAGAAATAGGGACACTCATTCAGTGAGCTCCTAGGAGCCAGCTGTCCCCATTCCTAGTTCCAGGGTGACAGGAGAACACAGCCACACTTGGCTTTTACTCAGGTTGCTGGAGATCAAACTCAGGGCCTCAGGCTTGCACGGCAAGCCCTCTTATCCACCAAGCCATCATTCCAACTTCTTTCTCCTTTGTTTTTTAAATATTTATTTTTCATTGTGTGCATGCATGTGTGTCTGTGAAGATGTGTGTGTGTGTGTGTGTGTGTGTGTGTGTGTGTGTGTACAGTGCCAGAGGCCAGAAGAAGAAGTTAGATCCCCTGGAGCTGGAGTCATAGGTGGTTGAGAGTCACCCTATGATGGGAGCTGAGAACTGAAGCTGGGTCCTCTGGAAGAGCAGTAAGTACTCTTATCCACTGAGCCATCTTCCCAGCCTCCCCAATCCCGGGAGGATCCTCAAGTCCGTTTATCCACATGCTGGAGTTTTTCTAGGCTGTGTATCTCCAGACAGAGGCTGGGACACAGTAGGGGTTTACAGGATCTTGCCATTCTGATCTCCAAAGAGGCTCCACCAATATACACTCCCACCAGCAGCAAGGCATCTCAGGATCCCCACAGCTGTACTAACACTTGGTATTGTCGGCCTCTTTAATTGTTGCCAATCTGACGGGTGTGAAATGGTGTCGCATTGTTGTTTTGCTTTGCATTTCTCTGATTCCTCTGGAGGCTGAGGTATCTCTTCCTCCATTCGTTGGCCATTGGTCATGTGTCATGTTCTGGAACGCCTTAACAACCCTTTGTTTACTTTCCTAGCATTATTGTCTTTCTCTTGTTCTTTATAGTTTAGTTTAGGTTTCTATCCTGCTTTGGTTTTTCACTTCCCCATCTGTAGTTTATTCTGCACCATGGTTGACATAGTACCCTTTTCCCTGGAGCTACTGGTGAGAGATGAACCCTAGGCCAGCACTGGCTCCCCACTCCCCGGGGCCTTGCTTCATGCCCCTTGGCTGCTTTAGTCAGAATGGCCATTGTTTTGACAACTGATAGGGCAAATCCCATTCACTGTTATCTTTCACATTGTTCTTGTCTGTTTAGAGCATTTTCTCTGCCAAATTAACTTTAAAATCACATTGCCAATGTCCCCCAAAAGCCCCTATGGGGCTTGAATGGTGATCACAATGAGTTTACAAAACAAGCTAAAACCAGTCTGTCTGTTTCTCTTTGCCTCTGCTCCTCTCTTTTCTCCTACACAGAAGGCATCAAGGCCTAGACTCATTCATTGATCAGCCCCAGCAGCAGTCCCAGGGGCCCAGCCAGGGGCAGGGCAAGGCACAGAGGGCTCTGAAGGCTCCTAGCTTTGTTTCCATGGTGACGACCAGGCTTAACCCTGGACTGGGTCTGGAATTGCCTTGGACCTGACCCACCTCCCCAAGCAAAGTTAGCTCCTGCAGACCTATCTGGTCCATCAGGTAGCATCTGGCTCCTCCTTGTCCTTCAGACTCTTCCAAAGCCCAGCACTGCCACAGGAGGAAGGACTGGGCCTTAGGCCTGGCACGCAAGGTCTTTCTTGACCTGGTCTCTTCTCTCCTTTCCAGCCATGACACCCTTCTCTTTCTCTCAACACAATCCATTATCTCTGCATCTTGGGTATTGACTCCTGCCTGTGCCAGCTTCACCATTAAGTTCTGGCTTCTCAGCCATCTCTGCTAGAGCCATGTGTCACCTCCTCCAGGCAGCCTTCCTGGAACCCATGGACCACAAGGGCCAGTTCCTCTTCAGTGTTCAGCACTTTGGACAGCTTGAAGGCTATGATTCTGAAGCTCCTGTGCCACATTTCCACCCTCCTCTCTCAAGGGCAGGGATAGACAGACAGCTCTTAAGGATGTTGGTTCTACTTCCATCGCTCTCCACAGATGATATCCCATGGCTGACTGCTCCTAGCCATGAGAAGTTCACTGCCCTCATGAGACAACACAGGCCTCTTGGAGAGAATGAACAGATAAGAGGATTTGCTGGACACTGGCCATGCTCCACAGCTGGACATTCACCAACTCAGTTGCTTCTCACAGAGAACCAGCCCGGATAGGACTATTCCCATTTTGACAATGAAGAAACTGAGGCTCAGAGAAGTAAAGTGCATTTCTCTGGGTCACAAAGCTGAGCGGGCAACAAAGTTGGGATATTCAAACCCTGGACTGTGAAAATCAAGGGTATTTCTTAAAATACCTTAATGCTGAATTGACACGTGCCTTCCTGGGACTTGGATTCAAGGAGTTAGCTAGTCATGAAAGAGCAAACTGAACCAGAAACAGAGAAAGCCGGAGACTAGCCTAGGTTTGCACAGCAAGACAACTGGGGGGAGGGGGAGGGACAGGGCTGGAAGCCAAGGCCCTTACATCTAGGGCAGACTTATTCCCTGTGCCTGACATTCTGCCAGGCTATAGGCTGCTCAGAGAGTCAAGTTGCCACGCTGGGCTGCAAGCCTTGTAGTCCAGGTCAGTACAGAGGAGGCCCTGTCTGCAGGACTGGTTTATAATTGAATCTAAAGATACCTGCTATGGCTTTGCCTTGAGGGTGAAGCTCAGGAGCAGGCCTCAGTCTACAGGAGTGCAGACCAGCCTTCCTTGAGGAACCTGTACACTGGACATGACGGTGGCGCTAGTAAGCAGGAGAACCATGGGGGTACCTCACCTGCTGAGGAATGAAAGAGCTAGAGAAGGTGACGGCCGACCAGAAGAAGATGCCACAGCTGAGGATCACCTTCCTATTGAATCGGTCACCCAGGTAGCCGAAGATGGGGGCAGCCACCATGAAGCTGCAGATGAACACTGTGGAAAGAAGAGAGGAGAACTGGAGGGTGTGCAGGTCCTGGCTAAGGCCAAGTGCAGTGAGACATAGCTGAGCCTGGCTCCAGCTAGAGGAAGTAGCCCTGGGAGAACAACGTCAATGCCTGGCATCCAGAGCGGGCAGGAGAATACATGGGGTTACATGAGGCTCCATGTCTTCTATCACCGCCAGCTTATTCCATGCCTTGGAATACTCGTTCACACAGAGTGCCAGCCCAAGGCGTACCACCACACCTCCAAGAGCTTCCCACCTCACAGATGAGGTCAAGAGTCAGAGGGAAAGTGACTTGCCAAGGCCCTCCAGGTAGAAATGGGCCTTTGTCTGCCTAGCCCCAGAGCTTGAGTTCCTTAGGTTTTGCCATTTAGGTTTACTTGCTTGCTTTTTGAGACAAGGTTTCCCATAGCCCAAGCTGGCCAGAACTTTGCTACATAGCCAAGGATGACTTTGAACTTTGGATTCTACCACCCTCTATTTCTCAAGTTCTAGGATTTCAGGCATGCACCACCATACCTAGTGTATGTACTGCTGGGGATCAAACCCAGGGTCTTACGTACACTAGGCAAGCGCTCTACCAACCAACTACATTCCTAGCCCACACTGTTTTGAGACAAACTCTTACTATGTAGCCCTGGCTGGATTGGAGGACCATGCTATGAAGACCAGGCTGGCCTCAAACACACAGAGTTCTTCCTGCCTCTGCCTCCCGACTGCTGGTATTAAAAATGTGCACCACCGTGCCTGACTTGCATTGCTTCCTATATTATTCTTGAGAGAGGGGATGGAGAGATGGCTCAGAGGTCAAGAGCAATTCTTATTTTTGCAGAAGACTCAGGTTCAGTTCCCAGCACCCACGCGGTGGCTCACAAGTGTCTACAACTCCAGTTCCAGGGGCTCTGATGCCCCTTCTGATCTCTATAGTCACCAAGCACTCGTGCAGTGCTTGCACATGCAGAGAAACATTCATACACATAAAAATTTTAAAAATCCTCTACAAGTACTTAAGAGAAAGAGAGGTCAGAGAGGGTAAGGGATCTGGTACCTACAGTCATGCACCAAATCAGGGCAAACTTAAGCCTGGAACTCCAGGTCTTACCATCAGCCAGGTCACTCAGCCCCCCCTTACTCCCAGCAAGAACATTGGAAACCCTGCCATTCACTTCTTCACTCACGCATGCGTGCACTCTCTCATTCAGAAAGTAGGGGGAGGGACGTGTCTCGGTGACTGTCCTAATTGCTGTGAACAGACATTGTGACAAAGGCAAATTTAGAGGGCGAGTTTTAGAGGGTAAGTCCATGACCAACCATCATGGTGGGGAGTGTGGCAGCAGGCAGGCAGGCATGATGCTGGAGCAGTAACTGAGAGTTTACATCTCATCCAAAGGTTGGAGGCAAAGAGGGAGCTAACTGGGATGGTATAGGCTTTTGAAACCTTAAGGCCCACCCCTATGTCACACCTCCTCCAAGGACACTCCTCCTAACCAAGCACTCAAATCCATGAATCTGTGGGACCATCTTCATTCAAAACACCACACTTTATAAGTTGCCTTGGTCATGGTGTCTCTCTATCACAGCAACAGAATAGTAACTAAGACAGGACATCTACAATGTACTAACATTAGGTGTCTGGGATTCATGGGTGAATGAACATGAGAGTCCTGCCTGCTTAGGAGTTACATTCTAAGGAAGAAAAACACATAGATAACACAATAGCAGTGATAATTAACAAGCTGTGTAAGACGGTGAGGAATACCAGGGAGGATCAAAGGGCAGGGACAGGAGATTAGAGTTCGGGAAGTTTCATCTCTGCAAAGACCTGCAGGAGGCAAGAAAACATTTACAGAAATACTGCCGGGAGCAGGCAGGAGTGCACTTAGCATATCTGAGGAGCAGGAAAGAGGCCAGAGTGACTGCAGCAAAAGGACAGAGTGGGGAGGGATGGAAGACAAGGTTGAGAGGCCAGATGGAGTGGGATCCTCCATGGAAAGTCAGGAGGGTGCAGAGCAAAGAACTAATGACCTGGTTTTGTTTTGCTAGGACCAGAGCATGGTACAGAATCTTGTGAGATATAGAGAGAAGGCCATATCTTGTTGGTGATGGGAGGGACTTGGTGTTTCAGCTGAATTAAAGGGGCTCAGGTAAGGCAGGTAGAGGCCAACCACATAGCAAGGCAGCTCCCTCTGTCCCATGGAAGGCTGACCCACTGCCAGCAGGCAGATGGCCAGACAACACCGGCCTCTGCCCACTGGACTCATGTGTGCATGGCTTAGCAGCCCCTGGGGAGGCAGCGGTTAGGAGGGAGGGAAGAGTAGTAAAGAGAGGAGGGCCGTGAGCAAGGCAAGGTGGGTTGTGGAGAGGACATGAAGGACCCTTCTCTCTTTTGAACTTGAAAACACAGGACACAGGACCTAGTAAGTCAGATCTGTAACCTAGGCTTTGAGCAGAATCAGTCCATGGGCCTCAGAGACACCCTGCCCAGGGTTCAAGCCCAGCTCTGCACCTTCTGAGCTAAGACCCTTTGCCAGGTCACATCTATGTCCCAGCTTCATTGGTGCACTGGTAAATGTGTAAAAACAGGTTCTCTAAAAAGGGGCAGAGGAGGGGACCCGTGATGCCTGGAGATTGAGCACCTCCATAGTCTAAACACTCCCACCTAGCTGAAGCCAAGCCACCAAAGAGACGTGAAGCTCTGAGCTCAATACCTTCTCAACCACAGGCGTTTCCACCGTTTAGTTAAAAGGAGTTTACCTCAAGCACACTGATAATACCGTGATGTAGGAAAGTAATTAGGAAGTGATGACTTCTGAGCATTTATCTGCTTCTTTTAATACAAATCACTCAGTTGTAAGTTTATATAATTTAGTTCTGAACAATGGCTGTGTCTAACAAGCAGCTCACACAATTCCTAAAAATTTAACAATCGGCTTTCATGAGCCAGGCTGAGCCAGCTCCCCACGCCAACTTCCTCATCTGTAAAATGAAGATAAAAATAGCTGCTGCTCTGGGTGGCTTGAGTATTGGATGAGGCAGTGCGGGGGAAGGTGCTTCACGCCCTGCCCGCCTGGGTCAACAAGGCTCTTGTTTACATTAGCCAGGGCCAATATTATTTCCTTACATCTACAGAAAGAATGCTTTCTTGTCAACCCCGCCTCCTAAGATCTGCCCCAGATCAGATCAGGATGTGGACAAGGAAAAGCTTAGTCGCAAAGGGCTCACGCGTGTTTAGGAGAAGAGGAACAACTGCTGGCTGTCTGCCTGTCTGAGCTGGGTGGGGAGTGGGCAGAGAAAATCAGAGTAAGAGATGCCTCTTGTCTGGCCAAAGTGCAAGTCCACCCATGAGTGGCACAACTCGATGTATTTAAAGCCTGGGAGCCAATAAGGAGTACCAAATCTTGGTGGTGTCAAAGCAGGCAATAAAATATGCCTACGAGTTCACCGTGATGATAACACTTTATACATAGATATGTGTGTGTATGTATGTGTGTATACATATACACATGCATATATGCATATATAAACTTTATATTATGTAAACTTCAAGTCTTCTAATCACATTGTATGATGGTTAATGAAGCATGATGCTTATTGTCAATAACGTCTGCAGTTGTCATTGATGGATCACTTATTATAGGCCAGGCCCTGGACACATTCTTGGCATATGTATTTATTATCTCAGTCAGATTCTTGCTATTAATTTCATCTTACAAAGGACACGACCGGCTGAACGAAGTGATGTCACAGGGCAAGTGTGTGGCTGAGCCAGAATTAAACCTCAGTTTAGCCGACTCGAAAGTCCTTGCTCTAAATCACATCACTCACTGCCAGACTAGGAAGGAGATGGTCCCCACAAATGCCCCTGAGGTCAGAGAATGCTCAGGGTGTACTACAACAGCAGGAGACGGGTCAGACTGCAGTCTGAGAAGAAGGCCATGGAGGACTAAGGGTCTCTAGACACAACTAGGCTGGCCCCATCCCCCCTCTGTGAGGAGGAGGAGCCTTTGGAAAAGCTCCCATTGGATGACTGAAGGAAACTGAAGCAGGCACCCAGGCCTAGGTCACATCACACTGTCTTCAACAGGGTAGATTCCTGGTTTGCCCACCCCTGACGTTTTGCTCATGCGGTAGACAGGAACACCAGGGCTGGGTAGACTTCCGTAGGCAGCAGTACACCTGTTCTCATGCCAGTCCAGCCTGCCAGTCCCCCGAGCTCCTCCTCCATCAGAAAACTTGAGTCCTACTTTTCTGTACACACATTACAGCTGGGGCCACAGAGGCCCCAAAGGGTAGGGGAACACACCCTGAATGACGTTGCAAGCTCGACTGGGACCTCAGTGACTTCCCCTTAGGAGCAAAGGAATCCAGGGTCAGGAATGTGTCGGGTCATTTTTGCAACCTCATCCCTCAGGCTCCTCCTAGCTCTCAGGGGGCATCACTGGTCAGCGGCAGGCTTTACACATTGTCAGGATAGGGACAGGAGGAACAGCCCAGGCAAAGGCCTGGACAGTGAACTGTGTCCCTTGGGAACAATGGGCACTGAGAGGCCATTACAAAGCCAGCAGGCTGCTCTGCTGGAAATAAAGACCAGCAACAACTGGAAGCTTCCTGTGCCTTCCACCTCTGCCCCATGGTCTTTGTGGGAGGAGAGCTTTCAGACCAGACTGGCTGCCCTGCCCCCAACCTCAATGTAGGCAGAGAGGCTTTCCCGGCAGTTCCCGCATTCAGGAGGACATCCTGTGGCCAGGGTGTGGGGAAGACCTCACTCAGCTCACGCTTGCTGAGCCCACAGGTCTCGGACAATGGAGCTGTAGGGCAAGGAGCCAGACAGAGGGGGCAGGGTACCCGGACTGCTGCTGATGGGAGGAGTCTAGCTCAGATTCAGAACTCAGGCGCCAAGCTTCACTCTCTCTCCTTCACAGAGCTGGCTCAAGGCCATCAGAAAAAATGGAAGGGAGCCTAGAGGTAGGGGGATGTGGGTGAGAGGGGT